AATTTTTGGCATCTTCATGGCTATCCAAACGCTGTCGCAACAACTCTCTCCATTCAGCGTCTTTACCAGTAGAATCACGGGCAATTCCAAGATACTCATACCATATGGGGTAATAAGCTGCAAACTCCCAATCAATGATCCCAACGAGCTGCCCGTATTTGACCATAATATTGGAGATATTAAGGTCACCATGCGTGAGGACATAAGGGCCGCATTCAGGGAAACGCTTCATCAATTCATCCTTTTTGTTCGAAAATGCTGAAGACGATAGTTCACGGCTGATGGCATCCCGAAACTCAGAGTCTGAGTGGAAAGGTCCCTGGAGCTTACCATCATCAAATATCATATCTAATGGACAGGCTCCTCCATCAATACCTTGTATACTCGGCGATGTGATGGACTGTAGTTGCTTGCACACATCGGCCACCTGGTCTGCGATAGTGGCCTTTTGGTCCTTCGACAATCGCGGCCAGGCATTCTCGAGTGTCTCACCGTCCAGTTGTGTCTGCATCGAAAAGTGGTTCCCATGTTGATCGACCCAGTTACGGTCAGCTTTTGGTGCTGGGATATGGGGATGAGCTACAAGTAGATGCAGCGCTTGACGTTCGTTTTCCAGAGATTCTTCGAATTTGGGGTGTGCTTTCAAAATCAAATCGGTGCCAATTGCCCATACGCCTCCTGCTCGCGAGCCGCGGATAAATTGTATGGGGTTGTAATGCCGGCGCATCGATTGCTCCGCTAAACTGCATCCGCACTCGTCATAGCCGGTGTATGTATCGGACATGGTGCGAATTGATTGGAATTTCTCAGGAGTAGAAGATAAGTGGAGAGTCCTAGGTCAGTGTCAGACAGATTGGATACGGAGACGACCAGTCCCTATTTATGTGACATGGTTAATCAAACCATGGAGGGGTTTTGGACTGTCCATTTGTTTCCTGGCATTAAGCAAGCATTGCCCTGGAATGGAAGCGGAAGTTGCCTGTGGATAGCTGTATCCTGGCGTGGAGTGTGGCTCGTACATTAAATGCCAGGGAATGTATATACACTATGCTGTGGTTAGCGTTATTGAGCAACGTAACCTCCCACCCAATGAACATATTAAACTTACTACAGTATCTGTTCTGCTTCCAAAGTCACGTTGTGTACTCGGCTGGTACACTGAAATTACGTTTGTTTTCTCGGGTGGAATTGTATAAACTCCATGTCGTTCTGAAAGGCTTCTTCATGTCCTGAATTTCCTTTGTTCAACTAAACCATTGACCAACAATGTTTGGTATTCTGTGGAGGATGTGGCCATGAAAGCTGCCCGCAATGCTTGGAACGAACCGAAAATTAAGTTCAACTTTCATCTCTGCTATACATATATATCGAGATGAGCATATTCACTTTCTATATGGCCCCGTTATATGGTTCTGTGAATCACCGTTGAGCGGAGCACCTTTCGATACTCTATATTACTTTACATTATAGGATGCAGTTAGTTGCCTTGGATATCTACATTATCGTGAAGGCAACTAGTAGTACTTTCACCACAGCAGACCTTGGCTGAACAACGCCAATAGAATGCATGTCTAATTTCACCAGATTCTTTGTTTTGATGCCTAACTGGCAGTCTATATAGACATAGATGTAGAAGCTCAATCCCCTAAGTATTCAATCGAACCTTGCAACCCAGCAAAGATACAGCAACCACAAATAAAGCCCTACCGAGCACACACACGAATCCACACACTGTTCTATCCAATCTACACCCCTCAAACAGCCTACTAGCATCCTGCAGTCTTCAACATGCCACCCGCCCTGAGTAAAGAACAAGTCACCCGCAGGAAGGAATATCTCAAACATCGAGACAAGATGTATTCAATCGAGAAAGACGAACTCTTTCCGCTTCTCGAGCAACGGTTCGATATGTGCAACAAGGTCTGCGACAGGTCCGAGGTTGAAGGCCTTTTAGAGCCTTATCGAGATGCATATCGACCAAATACCACTCCGCAGAAGATCTCGGAGATAATTCAGCTGATTGAACTAACCATCAAATTGTCCCTTTTACAGCGACTGCCGGTGGGTTCAAGGGATTATTATAAGGAGTTCAGCCTTGAGAGGCTGTGTGGGGATGTTACACGTCTTTATGGGGTCGTTGAGTTCTAGGTGGTGGTATGATGGGTTTTGAGAGTACTTTTTGAGTGATACCCTTGGATTGCGATATTTGCGGTATAATTAATCGATGTTACCCATTAGTACTTAATACTATATATGCACTAGAAAGTGCTTGGCCCGTTGAGTAACTGGTTTCAGATACTGTTATCCTAACTAGAAAAAGTTTGTCCTCCATACTAACGCACCTCTCTAACTATGACAAGTTCAGTCCTACTCCGGGCCCTGTCCCTTAACCTTCACATACCCTCTCTTCACCTCCTCCAGCTTAGCCATCCCAGCCAGCCAACGCTGAAGCAGGGGATAGGAATCCAAAGACAGGCCTGCAAAAGTATACTGCCTGACCCAGGGCTCCGCATGATAATCCACGGCGGTAATCTTTTCAGGCAGAATACTCTCTCCATTCGATTTCTTCAACTGCCCCTCCAACACCGCAAAGCAGCGATAGACCTGCGCTGAGTATCTATCCAGCGCATCCTGGTTCTTCACCTCATGGTAGTTCCTTGATATGACGTTAGCATAGAATGATTTTGGTTGTTAATTTTTCTACTATTTCGGTAGGCAGAAATACCTGAACCAATTAACCTGGCCCAACATCGGCGCCAAATTGGTGAGTAGGAAATACTCCCATTTCTCCAAGTCGACAATATCCTGCTCTTCCTTCCCGGCGGGACCTAGCTTCCCTTCGCGGTCATACACTCGGCGAATGTAGTTCATACATGCGCCGGATTCCCAGGCCACGACGCCCGCGTTTGGGTCCTGGAGTGAGGGGAGCCGACCATTCTCGTTGATCTTCAAGTATGCCTCGCCTTTGACGCCTTTTTGGGGGTCGTCACCAAATTCCCATTGTTGGACGTCGTAAGGAACTTTAAGGGCTTCGAGTGCGATTGCGATCTTGATGGGGTTGGGGCCCGTGGCGTGGGCGTGGAGGAGTAGAGGTTTGGTCATTGTGGATAGAGACCTTTTCAAAACTGTTTGCATGTTGATAAAATTTGGATGGAGGGTATGTGTCTTTTATAATTAGAATACTGTTCGAACGATGCTTTGGTTTATAAATCAAGGTTGATTGATCTAATACTATGGCAGGGCTTAATAATGCCCTTTAGGTTCTCCACTGTCTTGTTGCTGAAAACGTTGATGGAGCCGCGACTTTAAATCCCGCGGAGTTACAATTGGAGACATTATGATGGAGCCATGATTGGAGCCGGTGGAAGCAGTGATAAGTATCATCGGATCGTAATTTTTTTAAGTCAGGCCCCTGGCACTCTCAATGGCATCAGTCGGAGTAACTATATAACAATAATATTGTCGTTATTAGGCAGGAGAGAGTCATTGTCTAGATGGACATAACGCCAAAAACGGGTGCTTTACTGAATGTAATATGCATAAATTAAGCACTGGTTCCCAGTATATATCTCTAATCACAGTAGCAGCTCTATAATATTGCTCTTTTGTCCTGTTGGAATCGAGATTGTCAGAAGTCATGGAGTCCATGATCTTGTACGGATGGATACGGATTCTGACGTTCAACAAGACCCTACTCACACCCACACCCCTAGATATTTTCTCTAACCCAAACGCGCATTTTTCGATGCATAACTTAGGTAGCTGATAATATGTCCGGACGGAAAGGTAGGTGTATAAGGCTGAACGCAGCATGAATATTCACTCCAACCATTCAAGCTGTAACCTTCTCCAACTAACGGACCTTATCAACAGCCTACTCCAACTCGACCTTCCTACTCCAATTACGTCGACTCTTGCTTGAAATACTTCATTCACATCAAACCTCTATTAATTCAAGGTGAATGCAATTTTACACTATATATTCTACAGCATCGCTCACCGTCAATGGTCATCACCCCAGTACATGTATAGTTGTACACGTACCCCACCTAGGAGAAACTGAACTTGCACCCTCTTTCACACATTCTAGTTAAATGGAGCATGAATCAACTAGTAAGTAATATGAATATAACATACTACTTTGTGGAAGCCATTTAAGCGACCATTGCAATATATGGCGCTGTCACTGCATCTTCAAAAGATACGTAACCATGACCTAAAAACATGCTGGTTGAGCTAGCCCTAGTGAATTCTGAGTAAATTGCACAGATAATGCTTTAATTCGAATAGCTAAAGCAGAGTATTCACATATCATCTTTTGCAGTGTCTTGAAAACTCCCATGCACTGTTTAAAGACCTCTGAAAGATCTCATGCATTCACCTTCAGGTTAATGGGCACCAGCAAAGTCAATAGCGCCATCAGCACCCGCAACTACCTGCGCCTCAGAAACCCACGTATGCTCGAATACGCGCAGAAAACATCAGGTCTCCCACTTATACAGCATACAACCGTTCCGTTCTTATGACAGAAATAGCCAACAGGAACCAAATCACATCAGCAACAGTTCTTGACTGCTGCACACTCCACCGCACTAGATCCTGACAACCCACTGCATCAGGCTGAACAAGTCAAGAGAAGACTGCAGGAAAAGACTTCCGCTGCACGGTAGATCCATGATCTCTCTTGTCTGCATCCTAGGACTTCAGTTCCCCCCTTAACCGCAAGCTATCATACATTCATACTAGTAGTAAAGTAGACCCCAGACCAATCGGCACCGGCGGGTCCAACCGGGCAATCACAACAACAGACTGCGGCACGTGCGCGCTACCCGGCGGTGAAGTACGGCAGAAACAGCCGCGGCGCGTTACACTAAACCCGAAGCAGGCAAAGTGTCGGGCGTCAAGCGGGGAAAGCGAGCAGCTCGTCTCGATCCAGTTGCTGTTTTTTTACTGTCCAGTACCAATCATGGCTATTACATCAATCCCCCCGGAGCTTAAATCTTTCTTTCCTCTTGTCTCCCTCCTTTAGAGAACTAACTCAACTAACTAATCTAACGTTAGTTTGGCGTCTTATCACCACCACTGCAATTAGTTTACTCCGTGCAGAATTCTCTTCTCTTTCTGCCTCTCTCTCTCTCTCTTTTCTTTTTCTTCCCTTCCCTCTCTCTCTCTATCTTCTACCTATCTCCTACTCTCTTATCGTTCTCTCTCCCAGACAAGAAAAGAAACAAGTCACACGACCTGCTGCAGCTCCCCAACTAGCTTAGCTCTTATCCCCTCTCCTCTTCTTCTTCCTCCTCCTCCTTCTCCCTTGCTACTATCCTCTCACAACCACATCACCTCACAATAAAAATGTCCTCCCAACCACTCCTCCAAACCGCCCCAGGTAATCAATCCCCCACCCCCTTCAATTCTTTCCTCTCCCATCCTCCCCCCCCCCCTCAAAACTAACTAACACCGAACAGGCAAAAGAATCGCCCTCCCCACGCGCGTCGAACCCAAAGTCTTCTTCGCCAACGAGCGCACCTTCCTCTCATGGCTGAACTTCACCGTCATCCTAGGCGGTCTCGCCGTCGGTCTGCTGAACTTCGGTGACCGCATCGGCCGCATCTCCGCCGGTCTGTTCACCGTCATCGCCATGGCCGCCATGATCTATGCGCTGGTGACCTTCCACTGGCGCGCGCAGAGTATTCGCAAACGAGGCCAGAGTGGGATTGATGATCGCTTCGGGCCGACCATCCTCGCTATGGCGCTTTTGGCGGCCGTCGTGGTGAATTTTGTGCTCAGGATGGTGGAGTGATTTTTCTATTCTATTGGTTTTTTGTCTGTGTGTGTCGAGGGTGAGGGTATAGGGATTGGGTATGGTATGATGGGGGAAGGTGGTGAGGCATTGATCGGTGCTGGTCGCTGGTTTTATGTATTTTGGTGGGTGGTGGGATTGAGTGGGATTGGGTATAACTGTGTCAATGGATGAGTTGTTGGGGAAGGACCTTGAAGGAAGATGATATGTATTGTTTCTTATGCTGTTTGTTAGTAGTATTGAGCATTCTTTTCCCTACGAGTCTAGACTGTGTTTCAACTAGTTTGTTTGTCAAAAGTCATCAATAGTACCCACTCATGAGCACATTAACCTCTTCATACCTATATACATCACATTCAATCAATCATACAACTAAATAACTGCTGCCGCTGCTCAACTAAAATACCCCTCGTCAATAAACGTCTCATAACACCAATAATCCTTCTGCTCCCCCTGTCCATCCACACTCGCATTTCCCGTAAACTTGGCCGTCCAATACGCACTTCCCTGGGAATAACTCTGCCAAATATCCAAGCCAGCCAACACATTCCTCTTCCTCAGCGCAAACGTATTATTATACGTCGCCTGGATCGCCCACTCGCCCACAAACACAGGGAACTTGCCCGTGCCGGACTTCTCCCGGGCATCTGCAAGAATATACTCGGGGAGATTCTCCGACGAGGAATCCATATGCTCGTAGTAATAGTGATGCGTGTCGAAGACGAGGTTCGTACTCGCGGGGAAATCTCCCTCCCAGTATTGCGGGTACTTGAAGCTGCCCTGGAACATGACGGGGATGTTGGGGTTCACCGAGGCCACTTTTTGGATGACGGCCCGGATGTACTTGAGCACCCAGGCGGCGCCGTGGTCCGTCAGGGCAAGGGGCGTGCCGAAGACGACCATGTTGGTGTTGTTGTCGGCGGGTTCGCTGATGGGCTCGAGGGTGTAGGATTGTGGGGATCCCGAGGTTTGGATGAAGTTGATCACTTGGTCGATTACTTGCAACGAGTAGTTGAAGTTGGTCTCGTTGTAGAACCAGTACCAGTGACCGGTGGCTTCGCCGATGGTCAGGCCGTTCACGCCGCCGGGGAGGGAGTGTGTGTCGATCACGATGTGCATGTTGTAGGTGTTGATGGCGTAGTCGGCGATTTCTCTGAGGTAGGCCGTTTGGTTACCGGAGTAGAGTTGCGAGCTGGGGAGGTCGATCCATGCGGCGTAGGTTGTGGGGATGCGCAGCACTGTGATGCCGGCGGACGCGAGCTTGTCGATGTCAGCCTTGGTGATCCAGGTCGCGTAGCGATGCTCGAGGACAGGGCCGCATTGGGCGCCGAGGTGTTCGCAGAGGCCCCATTCGTCGGAGGCGCCACCGGAGTATTTGTCCCAGAAGTAACTATCTATTGTGGACTCTTGCACGAGCCAGCCGCCGAGGTTGACGCCGTTGCCTTTAAAGGTGCGCCAGTCGATGTAGGAGGAATTTGGAGAGCTGGCTAGGGGGGCTGCGAGGGCGGACTGCGCGCAGCCCAGCGCAGCGAGGAACCCTAGTAGATTGTACATTGGGAGCGAGTCTCAGGAGATAGATGATGTGGACCGGTACTTTGACTTCGTTTGTCGGCATAGTTCCAGCACTTCTTATATCTCGTCCATGCTTGTGCTGCCGGCACATGGTCTCTGTCCCGGACCGAGACATCTGGATAACCCGACGAGCCATTCTTTAGCTGGCTCTGAGTTGAAGGATGCTTAACACTGAGCCAAAACGTTATTCGACGACAAGGGAAGCCAAGGTCCCAAGTCGGGCCATCCGAGGAGCTCAATATGGCCAAGCTCGTCCGTCATTTGACCTAAAGACCGAATACAGCAATAACAGCGAGCGCCGGTTAAATGAGCCATGAAGATTGTCTTCACTAGCTATAAACAGTAGACACCGGCGCGCAAAAATTCCCGCATGACGAATTAATTTGAGCGTAGTGCGGGGTGTGGGGAAATAGGCTTAGGGAATCTTTTCTGCAGTCGGCACCTAAGAAACATCCGAATAACGGCCCCCTCCCGCTCAGATGAGGATCAACACGTTCAAAATCATCCCCTTTGGAGGATGACTCGGAAATTCCATGCCTCGGGATAATGAGGTCCGATGAGAGGTGAGATTCTCGGGTGTCCCGACGGCAGAGGCACCTGAGGCCAAGAGATTACCGTGGTTATAAACCGGGAGCACCCAACGCCTCGAGCCTCTAAGCCGTCAGCATGAATTTCATCGAAAGCAGATGGAAGCATACTGTCAGCACACTGCCAGAATATTTCTTAGGACAGTCGACCGCTTGAGTGCTTGAAAAGCAGGGTTGAAAATCGGCTTTCTCAGTCGGTCATTGCGATGCTAGTCAACGGCAACCCAGCAATGAGGATGAAGCGACAGGCCATGTTGGATGCGAGAGTGTAGGAAGCTGTCGGCCTCAGGCATTAAAACCTGTGATATAGACGGTGGCACATTGTGATAAATCTCCTATTGTGGGAGCGACTTCGTATTGAGTGCCCCTCCTCTGGCAGGAATCCCTTAGGGGGCGTCTGGGGGTGGAGCACCAACGAGCAAGCGTGCCATGAAGCAGTGCTGGCGTGAACTCAATCGCAAGCTATGCTGTGGCTGGTGGAGATGATAGGCAGACGAGGACGCGAGTGGATGATGTAACGAGCCTTGCTCAACCGCCGATCCCGGGTCTGATCTGCTGGTGGAAAAGGAGTGAAAGACAGACGGTGCGAGAGCGAGCGAGAGCCAGATAGTGGGAAGGGAACAATGCCCATGTGTAGTGAACCTAAAATCGGGTGGTTGAGGAACAGATCCATGGAACTACGAGTTGTCATGAGCGAATTGGCATCGGTAGGCAGTGCAATGTGGTGGTGGTAGCCTAAATGTCTGACTGGGAGTGTCACAGGGTTTTAAAGGAATGTCTTTCACTTTCATGGCAAACATAGCCAGCAGATTGGGGGAGAGAGGAAGCGAGAATCCATGTTATAACTAGGGCAGTTGGGGAGTACAATAGTATGTGTTTAATCTACCTGAAAGTGTCTCAACTTTCAGACGGAGGGTACTTGACCGGGTAGATGCAGCAATGTAACGAGACGGGGGGTTTCATACCAGTACGGGTATGGGTAGGAATTGGAAAGAATAGAAACCCGCCCGCTGTATGTATGGGTGTATGGGTGTATGGATGTATGTATGGTACTTTGTGGGCGGCAAAAGACCCCTGCTAGAGCGGATGTTAGCGCGGCCAATACCCCGGGCATCCATGGCCCAGTCCAGGCCCGGCATCACATCATGGGCTCCACTCGTTCAGGCAGTGATTCGACGTGTCATCCTCCTCCATCAATAATAGCAGCAGCTGTAGTACTGTATGTATGTATGTACTACTCTAGTACTGCATCTCGCTTTTGGATGGTCCTTTTGTCGCCCGGTTTTCCTCCCCTGTCACAAGTAGTCACTCACACTCACATATTGTAATCATGATGAGAGAATAACTAACTAATCCCCATCTCTCTTTCTCTTCTTTCCCCCCATCCCAGTTGAACTGACTGTCTGACTGACTAAACCACCACCACCACCACCCTCTTCTGCCTTCCCTCCCTTGAATACTTCCTCCACTCCCGTATCCCGGGTTCTTCCTTCTTCTCCCAACTTCTTTTCCCTACTTACCCTTTCCACTCAACCAAAATCCTTCATCTTCCCAATTAACCTTTTTTCGCCTCTCAAACCGGTTTGGTCCCTGGTCGGACTTCCGTAAGTATTGAAATTCCCCTCTCATCGGGTTCCTAATTATCTCCCAATAGTCGCCTTTTTTCTTAACGGGATTTTCCCTCCAGGTTGACCTGAACAACACCACCAATAACATCATCAACATCAACATAATTATTCAAGATTATGATTATTATTCTGGCTACTATTACCACAACCGTTTTCTAACCCGACAACGTCCGCCTTCCTTCGTCTCCCTTGGTACTCCTCTCTCTCTCTCCCCCTCCCACCCATTCTTTCTTCCTCTTTCCTCTCTTTCTCCCAACAGTACTCTCCCACTCTCTCTACAACGCAATCCTCTCGAACCCTCCCTCCCTTGGGTTTGACTACCTACTTTTACTAGCTTCGGGTGCTATCTATTCATTCCACTTGAACTACTATCCACACCCACACTAGAATAACTAGTATCTACCACTGGTTATTATTAATAGATTACGCCACCGCCCAACCTACTTACCATTACCATCCCGTGGGAACTGGGAAGGGTTGCCCTCTTACTTCTACCACCCATCAATCACTACTACTACTGCTGCTACTACTACTTTGCCTAGCCGTGGATCCGCTTCAGCTGGCTTCCCCTTCCCGGCGTGCATGTGACCTGCCTGGGAAGGAGGTTCCTCTTTAGGTTTTGCTTGATAGTTTGGACGCTCTCGCTGTGTCTTCCAGAACTCCGACCGGTCTTTATTATTCTTGCTGGTCTTTGTTCACTGCTTTTTGGTCGCTCTCTCCTGTCCTGTTCCTTCTTCCCCTCCCAACTTAATCTGGTCATACTTGGGGATCCAGACAGCCCGGACTCTTATCATCAATATCCCTCTTCCTTTTTCGACCAATCCTAGTTGCCCTTCCAACTCCCTTCCCCCAGTCTGATCCAATAATCTTACGTCTTCACGCAGCAGCCTTGTTGCATGCTTTCACTGTCGGAGCTCCGGCTATCCGTTTCTTGTTGGGGCTCCCCCCGTGTTTCCTTTCTCCCCCTTGCTGGGTTCCCACCGGTCGCAAACAACGACGTCTGACCGATCGGCGGCAACCTTCATTCCCTCGTTGCCTGCTCCTCTCTTCTCTTCATTTTACTCCATCGTTCCTCCCCCGGATTTAGATCGCATTTGCATGCACAGGTGCATGGGGTCTGCGTGGCAAACAACTCTCGACTGTACCGTGCTTCTTACGTGGCGCCTCTAGCTTGTCGCATTCCCGTCGCATTTGCGCAGATCCGCCTCTCTACATTCTTCCGCGCTCAACCTCGCATGGCATGTTTCGCCTGCTTCCTTGGTCCTCTGCTATCGGGGGCAACAAGGTGATGGCCGAGGAGCTTAAAATGCTCTCGACCTCGCCGCACTGCGCCGCCTCGGGCGTCAGTGGCCTGCCTTTACCGCAGTTGAAGCGCAAGCGCTCTGATTCTAGCGATTCCGCCCCCGCTCGAGATGCCCCGGTCGCAACCAAGCTGCGCGCCGACGATGCGCCCTCAAAACCCGTCAGCCTTCAGCAAGACCCTTCCCTACCTGCCACCAGCGCCGTGACGGTGTCGCACCAAGCTGAGCCGGACGGTCGCGCCCAGCCGATCTCGGAGTCGTCGCATCCGTCGCAATCTGGTCAAAGCGCGATTACAAATGCCTCGGAGATAACGAAGCAGGACGGCACTTCCCCAAAGATCGACACGGACACGCTACGCGAAACCCTTGAAGCGCAGCTGAGTCTGGAGGTGTTGTTGAAACACAATGAGCTCAGGCTGATCGATCAAGAGATTGCTAAATGCCAGGTCGCGCTGGAACAACTCCGTCGATGTGCCGAGATACCATATCCGGGATCCAGGGTGGCGGGCTATTCGCAGTCGGTCAGCAATGGTACGGGTGTCGCGGTCTGGGCTCCTGAAAATGGACCTGCGCCGCAGTCTCCCGCGCCATGGGGTGTCGTAGAGGGTCCCTACTCGCGCCATTACTCTAGATGGCTCCTACCGGATCCTCGATTCGACGGTGGCGAAGTTGAGCCCGATACTCCTCTCAGTGGGCTACCTCTCATGGAAGGCCGCACGACGCGGGGGAGTTCGGGCGATCTGGGCTCGCTGGCTGGCAAGACACGGCCTCAGCGCGGCTCGGCAAGTGCTAAGCTCCAGGCTTTGCCCAACGGCTACCCAGCACCCAAGGACAAGGCTGGTCCCATGCTTATTCGACGAAAGTCGGATAATGTACTCGTCAAGCTGGTGTGTCTGGACTGCGGTCGGGACAATTTCTCCAGCACCCAAGGATTCATCAACCATTGTCGCATTGCACATAGTCGGAACTACACCAGCCATGATGCAGCGGCGATGGAGTCCGGCAAGCCCGTTGAAGTCGACGAGGCTGGCGCCGTTGTTGGCGGCCGGGTAGAGAGCTCCAGTACAGCAGGCACCGGCGGGTTCGTCCATCCGCTGATCCGAACTGCACATGGCATTGAGCCATCATCCAAAACCCCGTCCTCTGCGTCTGAAGCCGCGGGCGGTAACGCAAGTCCCCGGAAGCGATCCTGCCCGAGTCGACGGGCATCGACCGGGGTGGAAACTCCTCGTGCGGCTGCCCGTCCCCAGTTGGAAAACCACCGAGGCACACCTGCTGCCGCTGCCACTTCGAGTCATACTTCGTTCATGGGCTCGCCCGCCACCCCTCACCTGTCGTCTCTCATGCAGTCCCGGGGCGTGGGGCTTGACCTTGATCGGTTGGTCGGGGAGGCAAAGACAACAGTGGATCTCGGCGAGTACTCTTCGGACGATGGCGAGTCGGACAGCGAGTCTGTGGCACCACCAGAAGCGATGAGTCACGAACAGAAGGCGGCTGCAGTCCGTGCGGGCAGGCAACCCATGCGGACCACGGCCTCGCAGACTGCGCCCCAGCGCCCGGGCAGCCGCAAGGGGCTCGATAAAACGAGTCACAACCCTTTTTCGTTTGAGTCATTAACCCCGACCAAGCCTGTTCCCTATCAATCTCCTTATGGAGCGGTGTCCCGGCCGCCGCAGCTCGACGGGCTGCGAGAGGTGGACGGGACCGAGCCCTCGTCCAACCTCAGCCCAACTACCATGGAATCGAACCAGGCGCCGAGTCTCGTCAGTGATGACGACGATTATGAAGCGGCCTCGGATTCGGAGAGCCCTGGGCCTAGCTCGTCGGAGGCGGGTGATGCGGAGGAGGATTTCGGTCATATTGGCGTGGAGGACGACGAGGACAGCACGACGTCCACGACGCCGCCAGAGGCCAAGTCGGACATGGGCATGTTCCGGCGCCGGAACAAGAAGAAGAAAGAAGGGGTCATGTCGGCCTCACTGGGACCATTGAGTCGCAGCCGGGATGAGAAGCGCGTGAGCTTTGCGAGCCCGGATGCGAGCCCTGCCAAGGGCAAGAAGGACAGTCCGCGCCGGCCTAGCGGACGATAAACGATAGATTTGCACGTGTTTAATGTATGAGGATACTCTCCTTTCCTTCATGTATGGACTTTAGGTACTTGATAAATTGCGGTCAGGAATTTTGCGAGCGGCCGGGGTTTAGGATGTTTTAGCGATGGCGGATATGATGATTAGTAGACGCCTGTATTAAATGCTTGGAATATACCTACATTGTAGTGAACTCTGAAATACTAGATTGTAGATTGAGTAATATGGAAGAGCCCTACCGCTCGGAAGCGGCCAGACCATCCGCAGCTCCATAATCCCCAAACAACCACAACCGTCATCCCCCATCTACCTCTAGCAAAAAAACCAACAAAGCAATAATCATACAAAGTACAATGAACCACCTCCACCCCCAAACCATCACCCCCCAAACCTTCCAACACCTCCTATCCCTATGCCCAAAAACAGTGGACCTTCTCTCCCGCCGCAAAGCCGCCGCCAAGATCAAGCGCAAACCAGCAGCGGCAGCGGCAGCAGCAGCAGCACCGAAAACAAAGCAGAAATCATCATGGACATCAACAGGCACGAGATCAGAAGCAGAAGAAGAGTTTATTACTGCTAAAGCTAATGAGTTCTTGTCGCTCGATGGGTTTAGGTATGAGGGATTACCGGGTGTGGTTGCTACGAGAGCAGAGAAGGATGGGTATGGGTACTTGGTGAAAGACGAGTTGGTGAAGTTGATGGAGTGGAAGATGTATAACCCCCTACCCTGTTCATCTAATATACTTTTATATAACATGATGATGATTATGGTACTGATTTGGGGATAGGCAACATGGCACCTTCCGCCCGGCATTACTAGGCATGATACGCTCGAACTCAGAGGCTGTGGTTAGGGATGCTACGGGGAAGGCATTTAAAGCTCTCACTACCCATCATACTTCTAAGGAAGGTGATGAGGAGAAGGAGAAATTTCCAAGCGAAGCGTTGGATATCCTGACGAAAGCGTTACGAGGCGTGGGAGTGGCTACGGCTTCGTTGGTGTTGTCGCTTGCTTCTACTGCAGATGTACCGTTTTATAGCGATGATGTGTATTTGTGGGTTTGTATGGAGGAGGTTTCATCTCCTTCTACTTCTGGGTCTGACTCTGGGGAGGGCGAGGCTCAGGCTGAGGCTGAGGCTGAGGCAGCAGATAGACTCAAAAGAGGGGTGTATAAGCGGTTGAATGGCGAGTTGAATGTCAAGTATACGATGAAGGAGTATCGAGAGTTATGGGAGGGGGTGAAGGGGTTGAAGGAGAGGTTAGAAGGAAAAGAGAAGGGAGTGTCTGGGTTGGAGGTGGAAAAGGTGGCGTTGGTGGTGAGATATTATTATGTTTTGTTGGGGGGTGGGCAGAGTGATGGTGATGGTGGTGATAAGAAGGGATCTGAGGGAATGAAGGTGGAGGAAGAACAATTAGAGGAAGAAACTAAAAGGGAAAAGAGAAAGTTGGAGGATGAACAACCAACAGGAGAAGGCAGACGGAGAAGCAAGAGATTGGACAGTCGCAGGATCAATCCTGCTTGATTTATGGAGTATTGTTGAATGATATGGAAATTGATGGTTGTGATAAGTACTCATTTAGTGGAAGATTAGGATCCATTCGCCATCAGCTGCTCCATTGACGTGCATGAGATACGTAAGTTGACTTCGGACTCGGTATAATGAATCACCTTTTTGGGTGTAGATGCCACCGAGATGACTGTAGATCTCATTTAATGTAAATACGTAAATGAAGTTGGTTAAGCAAGAGTTAGTTTATGAACCAATATACACAGCAATATGTTTGTTCATAGTCTAGTTGTCCCCGCAAATATGTGAAATTGCAGCGGGTCTGAGCTCCTGACGGTGTAAACCCGAATACGAATGATTCAGCTTTTCATTATTATCATATACATGCTTAATATCATGCCAGAGGTTCCCCCGACGATGAATGAATCCACAGAGCGACCCACAAGGGAATTTATGGCCGTGGGGGAACCCTAGAACAAGGGAGATGAAGATACATACATACCAGACTTCAATGGGCCAAGGAAGCTGCAGAACTACATTATGCCCATACCAAGTGAAGAATTCGTGTGTGCAGATGGCTGCCATGATTGATGACAGCCTGGCTTGAGTGCTACGAGTGGTGTAGCTATTTTCTGGGGATTGCTGTGCCTTCTACTACCTCAAATAGCACTGTTTATAGAGTTGGAGGAGACTGGGGCAAGAAATGGGTGATGATCACGTGAGTAGGGTTCACACTCAGGGGTTAAGTTTAAACTGGATTCATTCTTGGCTCTGAAACATCTCCTTAATTGCTTCAACTATACTATCATTCTTGGCATGATATGCATTCCGTTTTCGGTTGGTCTCTCTCTCTCCGATGGCAAACCGATCCTTGGATGCAACTGCACAGCAAACCGCCGGGGAAGCCAGAGATTGCGCGGTCGCCAGATTAATGCTGCCTGATAACTGGTATATCATTATCCATCATGATCCATTTCGCCATCTGCAGCTCCAGTGGCGTGCATAGCATACGTACTCGAACTGTCACCTGTTCTGTTGGCGTTCTCCTCTAGTACTACTATCCAAGTGCCGCATTCGCAACGCCATCCGTTTTCAGAACTTCCACATTCAACTTTCTACTATCGATGCCCGTACCATTTCCATTCCGTCCTGTTCTATTATAACCGACGCAGATAAGGTTCTCCGACTCCGAATCCTTGGATGCTTCTCATCACATCCCACTATAATTGGCTTTTTCAACTGTCCGTCCGCGTGGTTCTCCACTACTAGCGCTGCCACCAGTGGATCCGCCTCCCACCAATTCATCCTGAAATGCCAACATGCCTACGAATCTGTCATCCCACTCCAGTCTAGCGCTGCATCCACACGAACGTCTGGGGCCCGGCTAACCTCTCTCCCGTTCGCTCGTTGGGTGGCTTCGGTCCATGATTTGCGACTATCCGCGTCATGCTCTGTCCCACCTCCTCCTAACTGCCCGCGCCCACTCGCTCTCTCCGTTTGCAGCGTATCGCCTTTTTCTCCGTCGTCGCCATGCACGACTCTTTCTCCCTCTGGCAGGCTAGTTCTCTTCCATTGACTACTACCTGCCCTGTCGTGCTTCTTCAATCTGCCGTAGATGGCCGTGCTGCTGGTTCTCTGGGCCTTGTGGCCCATACTGGCATCGGCCTTCTCATGGCATGGCCTCTGGTATGACCTGGGCTTTCTGGGTCCTCATCCCACTCTGAAATACGAGTCGTTTGACCAGGAATCCCCCGAGGTCAATGTTCTGCGCTGGGACCCGCGATGTGAAGAGGGCTACGTTTTTCTTAGCCCTCGCGGTCATTCATACCCAGACCCGGGACCGTTGGTCTACGACAGCCAGGGATATTTGGTATGGATTGAGCGGGAATTCGGCCAGATTATGGACCTCAAAGTCCAACGCTACATGGGGGAGGATTACCTGACATTCTGGGCGGGCGATGACGACGGCACACGGGGACTCGGCCAATATTACATGGTAGGTAGCAGCTGCATGACTGACTGGCAGTGATCGAAGCTTATCATTCACAGCTGAATTCCTCCTACGACGTCGTTTACATCGTATCCCCCGCCAACGGATACACCGGCGACGTGCACGAATTCAAAATCACCGACGAGGGCACCGCACTCATGACCATTTACGACATCTGCGAGGCGGACCTTTCCTCCGTGGACGGACCCGAAGACGGCTGGATCTATGATGGACTCTTCCAAGAGATAGACATTGCGACGGGCGAGCTGCTCTTCGAATGGCGAGCGAGCGATTACTACGACATCGACGAATCCTACTACCCCCTCGGCGAGAAAGGCTCCGCCCCAACAGCCCACGACGCCTACGATTTCTTCCACATCAACAGCATCGACAAACACCCCAACGGAAATTACCTCGTTTCGTCCCGCTACATGCACACCGTCACCTGCATCAGCCCCTGGGGCGAGATCCTCTGGGTGCTAGGCGGGAAGCGCAATACTTTCAAGGACATATCCCCGGACAAGTCCGCCACGGGAATTACTTGGCAGCACGACGCACGCTGGCAGTCCGAGACAATCATCACGCTGCTCGACAACGGAGCGCACGAGCATCTCAACACTAGAGACCACACCCGCGGGTTCATGATCGAGTTGAACTTCGACGACTGGACCGCCAACACCCTGCACGTCTACGATAGTCCCGGCTCCTTTAGCAGCCACTCCCAGGGCAGCCTGCAGGTGCTTCCCCGGACGGGCCATGTCTTCATCGGCTGGGGCAAGCCATCAGCGTACACCGAGTTCACCGTGGACGGCGAAGTGCTGTGCGACTTTCACTGGGGGCCGCGCGTCTTCTTCTGGTTGGGATGGATCAAGTCGTACCGCGCGCAAAAGTTCCACTGGGTTGGACGGCCGCGAGTGCCGCCGGATGTGGCGGTCGACGAGGCGGGTGACACGGCATATGTGAGCTGGAACGGGGCGACGGATATTGCAGGGTGGGTGCTGCAGCGGGCGAGGAATTCCAGTGCGGGAGAGGATGAGTTTGAGAGTATTGCGTATACGCCGAAAGAGGGATTCGAGACGCAGGTGGAAATGATCGGAGAGGGATATTTCCGCTTGATGGCGGTGGATTTGGAGGGGAATGAAATGGGCGTGACGAGGGGGTTTGAGGGATGCGTAAGCTACCCTGCCACTTGATGACCTTCTAAGTACGAAGCTAACTGATACAAACAGGAGTTAACCGATATCGATATGGATGACGGCTCAACAAGCTCATTCTTCGTCTTCTCCGAACGACCCTTCCAATGGATGCTCGTAGGGACATTCACTACGGGAGCAGTGGTAGTAGGAGCATGGAGGGCGAGGAAACGCATACAGTCGATTTTTGAGAGATATTTTCGTTGATACCCATATACCCATTTGCAAGCATTATACATATACATTATTCAACCTCCACATCGTACATTAGCCATCAATACCTTTCACCCTTAGTAGATAGATAATAAGTAAATAGTAACATTACATCCACCCTCCCCTACCACCACATAACATTAACATACATTCCAAACAATTCAACATCATCCCCACACCTCCAACCCTACCATACTACACTCCTACTACGTAGTAGTATACATAGTAAGTAAGTAATCTCCTAAACCAAAGCAACAACCAACCCAGCCAACCCCATCCCCATCATCCCCACCTCCCCAACCCTAACACCACTCCCCGCCGCAGCCGCCCCCGAAGAAGTACTAGCAGGCACAGCAGTCCTACTACTCGTCGCAGACGAGGTACTACTCACAACGGCAGTCCTGGAAGAAGTAACCCTAGTAGAAGTCGAATACAGCGAATTCGCCTCCGCCGCATTACAATACTCCATTTTCTGTTGATCGGCGGAGGTATGGTTTGGGTCGGAGGGGCAGTCGTTGTAACACCTACACCCAACACAAGATTTATATTAGTACTATATAGTTTTTCACATTGAATTTTCAACTTTAGGGTTTATAGAAGGAAGGGGGGGAAGGAAGTATCATACGTAAGCATATTCTTGCTCTGCGTACACAAACACGACCAATCATTATCGGAACATTTGTCCATTTGGGGTTTCATTTGGGAGAGGCAGGCGTCGAGGATACTATTATTCCCACAATCATTAGTATTCCATTAGTATATGTGTATGTATGTGTGTGGTTTGTTTGGGGATAAAGGGAGAGAGGTATACTTCTTCGCGCATTGTTGGTAAGGACTGCTGCTGTCGCTGTCGCTGCTGCTACTACTGCCAGTAGAGGTCGGCGCTGGGGGTTGTGCGCCGGAATCTGTACCTGCTGCTGCTGCGCCGGTTTCTGCGGCGGGAGAGGCGGCGGAGAGGGAGGCGAGGGTCAGGGTTAGGAGGTAGATGAGGTTCATTTTGTCTTTTTCTTTCTCTTCTGTTCAAAGTCTTGGTGGTGTGTTGGTTGGTGGTGGGTAGAATGTGATTAGGATAGAAGGGTATAGTATAGTATAGTATATCTGGGGAATGAGAGTGATTGAAGAATATGATACTGTGTTGTGGAAATGGTATCAGTCTTATATCTATAAAGTATCGAGTACCACCCACATAGTAATAATCTAAAGTACGGAGCAGGTGTAGTATTGACCCGCCTATTATTGGTGGCGTACGATATATCATATAGTACTCTCTCTTCTGGGTACATGACTTGAGAATTTCCAGACCGATTCTCTTGATCATTAGTTCGGCATCGAATGTCGAATATGGGAAGATGCTGTGCGTCTTGGCTGCTTGCCAAACCTACACATCGGTGAACATCATGCCAATTGGAAGTATTCGACATTCTACTCCATACACCTCGCCCAATGGCTGCGGGCGCCGCAATAATACACTATATACAGTTCACTAAGCCCACTGCCGCCCTGCCTGCTAACCGAACAATATATCGACGAAAAGAGATAGTCCCCTCTCGGATCGTCTCCTCGCAGGCATAGTCCGTAACGTTATTCGGACACCATGTTTTGCCTTGCGTCGATGCTAGAGGTCATATGCAATATCACCCATCACCTGTCTACTCTTGTCCAAAACCTAATGTCTCCTCCACGGCAATGGACAGCTTGTGCTCCAAAACGTCGTGCGTCTTGTACGGCGGCAGATCCAGTCGGTTGAAACTGGCTTAGTTAGTATGCGCTGTAATCTTGCGTGAGTATAGGGGCTTACCAGGTGTGCGACTTGGGCAGCGCGATGGGATCGCCCGACTTCTCAATGGTGAACCGTCTCGGTCCGTCCGAACCCTGCAGATCCTTGAATCCATTGACCGGAATACGAGACGTTCCCGTGGTGAACTGCAGCAGACGCGACTTCTGCTCCGCATCCCAGGTGCGCACGATCTTCCAGAAGTTCTGGATCACCTCGTCCTGTTCCTGGTATCCGCGGTAATCCGTGTGCTTCTTCCAGTCATCCACATCAATGTCTGCAATACCGCCGATCAGCAGCTCCAGCTCGCGCTCGTCGAACACGTTGACCAGATCCGCCGGAATCAGCTCGTTGAAGCCCGACATGAACGCGTTGAACTGCTCCTCGACCCGCTTCACGATCTTCCATTCCGTGACCAATCTAATTCATTAGCTTTGCCAACATTGCCAATAACGTAGCAGACAGTACTTACTCGACATATTCGTGCTTGTTCTCGTTGGTAACGGGAATGTCCCGGCCCCCGGGCTTCAGATCGATCGTAGTGCGCTCACCGAACTTCTCATCGTCAACGCAGAAGGTCAACTCGATGATGCCCTCAATGTCATTTTCCCTGCGCAGCGTTAGAATTGGCCCATAACAACATTACGGGTAACGTACAAAGTCCACGCCAGATTGCGGTGCAGATCCTCGTCCACACCCTCCATGTCCTGTAGTGACACCTTCTTCCGGAGCATCATCTTGTAGAACGCTCCGATGAAGAACGAGTCAAGGAAGCGCCGGTGGAAGATAGCCAGCCCGACCACGCGTCCAATGAACTTGAAGTAGTTCAAGTGCTCCGGGTTCACACCCGAATGGGGATTAATTTGCAGGGTATAATTATCGTGTGCGGAATACTCGAAAAGACAATAGAACGGGTTAAACATTTCGTGCGAAAGGAGGAAGAAGAATTCACTATTCAGTCAGTATTCAACCATTTCTCAGCCAAGGGGAAGAGACCTACCGGGAAAGACCACCGTAATCGAGACCGTCTTCACCGTCAAACTTGATCATCAACCGCTTCTTCAGATCCGAAGCGCTCTGCCGCATGATCTCGGCGTACGAATCCTCAAAGATGTTGTTACGCCGCACCTTCACGTGGCACTGGCCGGACATGATGCGCAGCGCGGGCTGCGACCGGAAGTAGATCAGCTTGCGGCGGAAGTCACGCTTGTACTGCGGCACGCCCTGATCCAACGACGACGGCAGACGGGGATCATCCCACGTGGTGGTCTTGGTGTTGTGGTCCACAAAGTACACCCGGGCTGTATTCGTCAACCGCATTTCCCATCCACTAGGCAGAGGGCCCAACTGAGACACTGGCTGCTGCTGGATGGTCGTGTTGCCGCCGTTGGCATTGTGCCCGTACATGCGGATGTACTGCTGTCGCCGAGGATCGACCCATGTGGTTGTCCGGGTGTTGTGGTCGACAAAGTAGGGCCGTCCCTCGGGTGTCGTCCGCTGCTCCCATCCGGGTGGGAGCTCACCAGTGCCTGCAGTGGTAGCTCCCGTGGCCATCATGGACACAGCGCTGGCGCTGCCACCGGCCGGCGGGGTATGGGCCTGCTGCGGTTGCGGTTGCGGGCTCTCCTGCAGATTTGGCGAATTGGCCCCTGTCCGGTCTTCCGGCAGCATCCGGCTCTGGTGAGCGCGGCGCTCCAGTTGCATGTTGGCCTCGCGCTGTGTGCGTTGCGTTTGCTCATTGTAGTTCGATGACGGCCGGGTCCAGGTGGTAGTCCGCGTGTTGTGATCCACGTAGTAAGTACGTCCCAAGTTATCCTCCCGTCGCTCCCAGCCAGCTGGTAGTCGACCCTGGCTGTCCTCGAAGGAACTGAGATTGGTGCGAGAACCTTGAGGGCCAGCTGGAGGGGGGGCGGCGCCATTGACGGGGCCTACCGTGCTGGTCGGCCGGGTGGTTGAGGGGACTCGTTGGGGATGGAGCGACACGTTCGACGCGGCGGCGGACGGCTCGGCTTGAGCTGGGCTGGCGGATGGATGCGAAGCACTCGAAACCTGGGGAACGAGCCCACTGGAGGTCGACGACTGAGCATGTGAACGATGCAGGCCATTGGCCTGGTTCGGGATGGGGGTGCTGAGGTTGGTGGACAGGTTGATAATGAGCTTTCCGTGCACCACAAGATTATCGTTGGATTTCTTCAAATCTCGGGTGAGCATTTCTAAATGGCGCGAGACCGCTGTCAGTATGGACGACCGGAAGAGGGGGTGAACACCATCCAATCTCGTGACTCACCATCGCCACCCATCTGTAGATCTATAACATCGCCAATCCGCACATTGATCACACCGAGGAAACCTTGATCCTTCTTCTTGAACTTCTTCTGGTCAAAGATCTGGATTGCGAGGATACTGTCTTCATTGACTCGGCTGCATGGACCGGTGATTAGTGTCGGTCCACGAAGACAGACAATCCAGCGGGTCCTTACAGGTCAAACATCTCATTCCAGTAGGGGTTCAGCGTCTTCTTGATCACCGACGTCGTGTGGGTTTGCTCACCCCCGACGGTGGCCACAGCGAAGGGATCGGGAAATCCTATCGACGAAGCAAATGTCAGCTGGCAGTTATCCGTAGATCGAATGCGGGGACGTACGGAAAACATCGCGCTTGTATAACCCATCCGCTGCGATAACTATCGAGCAAACCAGTCAGTCTCACATCGTCTCCACCATATCCCATCAAGGCCGTCGAAGATTCGCCGCCGAATTAAGCTTACTTGTGACCCGAAGATTTGGTTGCCTGCAAGTCATCGATGGTTAGCAATCTGTCGGTAGCACGACGCACATACAGAACACACGATGTTGATGTTCAAGACATCACGCAAGGGGAGGATCCGAGGTATGCACATACGCTGGCAGGTTGGAACCCATCCTGGAGGGAGGGAACAGGCAGACAATGACGCGCCTCTAAGTGCAGCAAAACGGCCGATCCGGACAAGCCTCAAAAAGGTAAATCGCGGCGTGCGCATCCACCGCCGTCGACAGGCACGGACACCAAGCAGCAGCGGGAGAGGGAAGTGGCGTCAGGCGAAAGTCGTGGGGGAAGAGGAGAGGGGGGGTTGAAGGGAAAAGCGAACGGTGGAGGGTGGAGAGCGAGGGGAGAGGAGAGAGAGAGGTGGGCACGGGGGGGGGGGG